AGGAAGAACTCTGCAGAAACATGAGGCAGCAAGAAGAGAAGGCAGTGAGCACTTGGAGCTGGAGTCAGGGATTGAGATGGGGACTCAGGAAAACTCATCTCCATACCTTGGCCCAAGCTGGTCCGAGGCCAGTGCCTGGGCCCTGGCCCTCGCCGCATCCAAGGCTCCATGACAGATCAGGTAGCCACTTTCTTCCCCTGCCAGCTCCTAAAACAGCACCGGCAGGGCTGTGTAAGCTACAGTGGCACCACAGGAAAGACAAGGCCGTGAGTCGTTATCTCCTTCCCTCTGAAGCCCGGTGCTCCGTAGACAGTTGACTCCTCTCTCTTCTATTTCCCTCCCATCAGATACAGAAACAGTTGGTTGAATTGTCTCTCTTTTTTTCCAGTTATTTCACATGTTGCTATGAGTGTCGCAAAGTGATCCAGTCTTTCTGGAGCACATCCTAGCGGTGTGTTATAAGAGCAAGAAGACTGTTTTCCCTATGGATATTGTAGATCCACTTTCGAAAACTATCCCAAGAAAATAACCCAAAAAGAAAAAACCAGTACTCTCATCTTAACTGATTTACCCAGCATTTGGTGATTTCACAGCATTTTCACATCTATCTCTTTACAGCCTTGTTATTCTTATCAGCAGAAAGTAGAGTGTGGTGCAGAGGTGCTGGCCAGGCTGGGTGGCGAGGCCTCCTTTGGGCGTGGTGGGGCTCTGGAGGGTGGGCAGAGCCTGGACCCATGAGCCACGGGCAGGGGGAGCCACCAGCTGATGGACATCTTGGAGGAAGAGGGCCGTGTGCTGCTCTCCACCTTTGATGCAGAATTCAATGCTATTGTTGGATATTTAGAGGACACTAACATAGATGATGCCTTCCAGTTATTACAGAGAAATTTCATGGACAAGTACTATCAGCAATGTGAAGACATAAAAGAGAATCAACTCACCTACATACCTACTTTTTAACATTTTTATTGATACATTTTTATACATATCCATGGGGTACATGTGATATTACTTTGTTACATGTAAGGACTGTGTGATGATCAAGTCAGGGTATTTGGGGCATCCATCATCGTGGGTATTTATCACTTCTATGTGTTGGGCTATCCTCTCTTCTAGCTATTTTGAAATACACAGCACATTGCTGTTAACTATAGCCACCTACTCTGCCATCAAGCATTAGAACTTATTCCTTCTATCTAACTGTATATTTGCACCCATTAACCCAGCTCTCTTCCTCTCCCTCCCAACATACTCTTCCCAGCCTCTGGATCTACCATTCTACTCTCTGCCTCCATGAGATCAACTTTTTTTTTTTTTTTTGAGACAGAGTCTCGCTTTGTTGCCTAGGCTAGAGTGAGTGCCTTGGCATCAGCCTAGCTCACAGCAACCTCAAACTCCTGGGCTCAAGCAATCCTTCTGCCTCAGCCTCCCAACTAGCTGGGACTACAAGCATGCGCCACCATGCCCGGCTAATTTTTTCTATATATATTAATTGGCCAATTAATTTCTTTCTATTTATAGTAGAGACGGGGTCTCGCTCTTGCTCAGGCTGGTTTTGAACTCCTGACCTCGAGCAATCCGCCCGCCTCGGCCTCCCAGAGTGCTAGGATTACAGGCGTGAATGAGATCAACTTTTACATGCCTCAGTCTAACCAATACATTTCTTTGATAGAACAGCCGCTGGAGTGGATTCCTGGATTTTGCAGGCGACTTGCATAACATAAGGGTACCATAACGACAAAGGAGTTGGTACCATGTTTGCCACACTGTTCACATCGATTTTCTGGCTTTTAAAGAAATGTTTCTGGACCACAGAGTAGAAAAGAAGACCAGGACTGGACCTAAGCACTGGTTGAGTGGTGACTTCCTTGTGCAAATTATGCCAGCTTCCCCAAACAATCTGCAGCACTGGGTCCCACCTCCAGGCACTGAATGTGATCATCTTGATGTCACTGGCCTGATAGACTTGATGAGGACAGAAGAAAACATCTTGGAAAGACTGACTCTGTTCTGCAACTCCTCCTTCATATTAAGTATTGATGGATCAAAAACAAATGACCTAAGGCCGGGCGCGGTGGCTCACGCCTGTAATCCTAGCTCTTGGGAGGCCGAGGCGGGCGGATGCTCTCAAGGTCAGGAGTTCAAACCAGCCTGAGCAAGAGCGAGACCCTGTCTCTACTATAAATAGAAAGAAATTAATTGGCCAACTGATATATATATATAAAAAATTAGCCAGGCATGGTGGCTCATGCCTGTAGTCCTAGCTACCGGGAGCTGAGGCAGAAGGATCGCTCGAGCCCAGGAGTTTGAGGTTGTGTGAGCTAGGCTGATGCCACGGCACTCACTCTAGCCTGGACAACAAAGCGAGACTCTGTCTCAAAAAAAAACAAAAAAAAAAAACAATGACCTGGCCGGGCCGGTGGCTCACGCCTGTAATCCTAGCACTCTGGCAGGCGAGCGGGCGAATTGCTCGAGGTCAGGAGTTCGAAACCAGCCTGAGCAAGAGCAAGACCCGTCTCTTACTATAAACAGAAATAAATTAATTGTCCAACTAATATATATATAGAAAAATAGCCGGCATGGTGGCGCATGCCTGTAGTCCCAGCTACTCGGGAGGCTGAGGCAGAGGATTGCTTGAGCCAGGAGTTTGAGGTTGCTGTGAGCGAGGCTGACGCCACGGCACTCCACTCTACCCTGGGCAACAAAGCCGAGACCGCTCAAAAAAAAAAAAAAAACAAATGACCTGACCCTTCCAGATATCTTTCTACTAAAACGGCTTCTTGTATTCGGTAACTCCTCCCCTCCCCAAGAAGACACCTCTCCTGGTGCTTCTGAAGCAGACTTCTCTGAAGCAATCCACGTGGAGCGTCACAATTGATGGAGCCCTTCCCCAACAAGCGTCAGTGTGTCAGCAGCATGGAATAACCCACCATCACCAACCCTCTTTGTCCCACCAGGCTTGGCATGAATCTTTTTGTGCACTCACAGTTCTTTCTCACATGGGTTGGAGTTTCAGTCCTTCAGCTTCGATGTGGTTTTTTACTATTTGTGGGAGTATTTACTCAAGCTAGCTGCCCCATGTTGAGATTTCTGAATCTCCTATGATCACAGCCAGTCTTGGCTATAGGAATCAACTGACAGCCATGTCCTTTACCTAAAAGCTACATGTGAAAATCAATTCCCAGTCTTAACATTTGTAGTCCTTGTATCACTATGTCTTCTGCTGGTCCTGACATAGTCCCACTCTTTCTTGAACTCTCTTTTACACATTATTTGTATAGACAAATACTCAGGCTAACCTAGTGGATATGATCTTGGAACTTCCATGGTTACCACCTTAAAGATCAAAGTATTATATGCTGTATGCTTTTTAGTTGTTAGTGCTGTGAGGGTAAAATCACTTTCTATGTTGGCATTCCCATTTTATGTGGCACCAATGAATGTATGCTGTGTTCTGGAAATAGACTAAAAGGTATCCTATTCTTAAAGCATATTAAGTATGTTTGTGCATGTTTGCTTAAAATACATGAAATGTATAAACCAGTTTGTTAGGTTTTCTGATGGGGTAGCTAGGGAGTCAGCAATTTCTTCTTCCTATCGAAATCTCTCCTGCCAAGATGGTGCTCCACTGGTCTAGCTCAGCATGAGTAGGAGGCAGTAGACAGCTTTACTGGTCATCTGTCTGCTTTGGTTTAGTACAATATTTGGTAGAATCTTACTGACAAGAAAACATGTATGTCATATCTCTAGAAAGAAGAAAAAGCATAATAGTTCAGTTCCCAATGTGTACCTTTGATGTTTTTTAAGTAAAAATAAGAATCTGTACTGACTTTCACTTGGCTATTCTGGTTTTAAAGGATGAGCTACAGGCCATGTGTTTTACTGCAATGATGTGTTGCTTTCGTACCATGAGTAAAACTTGAGGTGTTTTTGAAGAATTATCATTTAAAAAAAAGGTTGGGGCCGGGCGCGGTGGCTCACGCCTGTAATCCTAGCTCTCTGGGAGGCCGAGGCGGGCGGATCGCTCGAGGTGTTCGAAACCAGCCTGAGCAAGAGCGAGACCCCGTCTCTACTATAAATAGAAAGAAACTGTCTCTACTATAAATAGAAAGAAATTAATTGGCCAACTGATATATATATAAAAAATTAGCCGGGCATGGTGGCGCATGCCTGTAGTCCCAGCTACTCGGGAGGCTGAGGCAGGAGGATCACTGGAGCCCAGGAGTTTGAGGTTGCTGTGAGCTAGGCTGATGCCACGGCGAGACTCTGTCTCAAAAAAAAAAAAAAAAAAAAAAGGTTGGAAAGAACTGAAATGGTCAACATAGAAATAGAAAGAAATACTGTGTGGCCACTAATAGGGACTATCGGGTTGAATTGTGGCTCCCAAAAGATACATCCACCTCAAACCTCAGCATGTGACATTATTTGGGAAAAGGGTCTTGTTGTTGTTAAGGATCTCAAGATGAGATCATCTTGGGTTAGGGTGGGTCCTAAATTCAATGACATGCATCCTTCTAGGAGACAGAAAAGAAGACATAGAGACACAGAATAAGGCCGGATAAAGACAGAGGCAGGATTGGCATATATGCTGCCACAAGCCAAGGAACACCAAGAACCACCAGAGGCCAGGAGAAATGAGGAAAGATGCCCCACTAGAACCTTCCGAGGGAGGTGCCTTGATGGACTTGTGGCCTCCAGAGCTAGGAGAGAATAAATTTCTGTTGTTTTCAGCCTTAAATTCATGGCAATTTGTTGCAGCAGTCCTAGGAAACAGATACATATGGTAAGGAAATGGATAATGTTGAAAGCTGAAGAGATGACATTAAATGGAAAAGAATGCAGAACTCAAAATGGTAGCTATATGGTTGTAATAAGCACATATGAATGCATATTCAAGAGAATACATAGATTATTTCATTTTCATGTTTTTTTTTTCAAGTAATATTATTTGAATGAATAGAAAGCATTTCACATCTTACAAATATAATAAATAGTGTGGAATGTTAAAAAAAAAAACCTAAAAATAAAATGCTGGAATCCCTTGTGGCAGCAGAGCCAGGCTAAGACCCAGGTTGTCTTTCAGACTGGTAGGTTTGATTTTTTGGATTTTGTCCCCAGCAATTTGCCTCACAAACCCATTGTTAAAATTCAAGAACCTGGATCCTTTTCACAAGATGGCACCGAAGGCAAAGAAGGAAGCTCCTGCCCCTCCCAAAGCCGAAGCCAAAGCAAAGGCTTTGAAGGCCAAGAAGGCAGTGCTAAAAGGTGTCCACAGCCACAAAATAAAGAAGATCGGTATGTCACCCACCTTCCGGCGGCCAAAGACACTGCGGCTCGGGAGGCAGCCCAAATATCCTCGGAAGAGCGCCCCCAGGAGAAACAAGTTTGACCACTATGCCATCATCAAGTTCCCCTTGACCACAGAGTCGGCCATGAAGAAGATAGAAGACAACAACACACTTGTGTTCATTGTGGATGTCAAAGCCAATAAGCACCAGATCAAACAGGCTGTGAAGAAGCTCTATGACATTGATGTGGCCAAGGTCAACACCCTGATCAGGCCTGATAGAGAGAAGAAGGCATATGTTCGACTGGCTCCTGATTATGATGCTTTGGACGTTGCCAACAAAATTGGGATCATCTAAACCAAGTCCAGCTGGCTAATTCTAAATATATATATATCTTCTCACCTTAAAAAAAAAAAAAAATTCAAGAACCTGGCCAGGCACAGTGGCTCACACCTGTAATCCTAGCACTCTGGGAGGCTGGGGTGGGTGGACTTCTCAAGGTCAGGAGTTCAAAACCAGCCTGAGCAAGAGCCAGACCCTGTCTCTACTATAAATAGAAAGAAATTAATTGGCCAACTGATATGTATATAAAAAATTAGCCGGGCATGGTGGCGCATGCCTGTAGTCCCAGCTACTTGGGAGGCTGAGGCAGAAGGATCGCTGGAGCCCAGGAGTTTGAGGTTGCTGTGAGCCAGGCTGACGCCATGGCACTCACTCTAGCCTGGACAACAAAGTGAGACTCTGTCTCAAAAAAAAAAAAAAAAAGTCAATATCTATTTAACCTTTCTATTTCATACATCTATTTTAGTTTTAATCTATTTCAATAAAAAGACTTAGACATCTATTTTACAATATTTAGTATTCTGTAGTGTTTTCAGTACTCCATTGCATATACATATGTATATGTATGTGTGTGTATATATGTATGTGTGTTATTTAATACTTGTCAAAGTCTTTTTAACAGACTTTTGCTCATATTACATAACAATATTATAAAGAAAACAAAGCAGGTAATTTTTTCCCCATCCTTGAGGTGAGAAAATTGAGACCTGAGAAGATAAAATGGTTTATGCAAAGTTATAGGCAAATTAGTAACAGAACCAAAACCAGCCCAATCCTGTGTCCAGAAGTCTGCATTATAATTACATACTTTTCTTTATTGTCATCAAAATCATGCCACTTCTCTGGATAAAAAGCAGGAATAAAACAGTATGCATAATATACTACAATTGTGTTTTTTAAAAAGGAGAAAATAGATCCATGTCCATATTTATTTTGTATATATACAAAGAAACTCTGGAAGAATAAGTTAAAAACTAGTTGCAGTGGCTACTCTGGGGCTTGAGGAATTTGCTAGATGGAGAGATGGGAGGCTTTCCATACTATACCTTTCTGTATTTTTAAAAAACTATATGTGTTGCATATTTGGAAAACTAAATATATTCTTAAATGAACATATGTAAAAAGTCTTAGTCCTTCTTTAAGTAATTGGAGCCATTTGCAAAGCCTCAGTCCTAGGCTGAGAGCCAGGAGTCCGGGGAGGCCGCCTTTTCCGTGCTGTGATGTACATGCGATGCTGGTCCCCCCTCCCGTCCCCACCTCCCCATCTCACACTGAACTAACAGCAACAGTGACAATTACTAGCACCTGCTCACCACTTGCTGCACACCTCTGAAGTGTTTTATATGTATTAGCACCATTTAGTCCTTATAACAAACCTATGAAGTAAATACTGTTATTATCTTTATTTTACAGGTACAGAACCTGAGGCACAGGAAAGCTGATTTGCCCAAGGTCAAAGTAGGGTAGTTAAGATATGAACCCAGGCATTACGGGGACACATGCTTCAACACGCCCCACATTGCCTTTCGCTTACACAGCAAAATTACTCCACTGGAGTTAGGCTTTGTTTCTCAAAAAAGCCTTGTAAGAATTCATGTGTTTCCCAGGATGATTAATAGGGCATGTCTTTTAGCCATTGTCTTTGGCACTTCTGAAAACAGGCGATTGTCATCTAGGAGGCCATGAAATCTGCAAACAGGAAACACTAATGAATACTTAGTGGAAGATCCCCAGAATGTTCCAGAGCAGTGCGTGCCCACTAGGAGGATGTCCTTCATTCACTGTCTGAACCCAAAGACTTAGAGGTGCTGGGAATGGGTAGGGTGTCTCTTGTAGGGTGACAAGGCAATTTTATCAGGTGGCTCTTCTAGAGTAGCAAGACATTTTATCAGCTCCCCAGCTTGGCAACAGACTAAGAGAGTGAGCAAAACTCCCAGCCAAACTTTGACCCTTTGGAAGGGGTCAAAGATGCAAGTGGCTTCCTTTCAGAGAAAGCAGCCCATTCCTTGGGACTCAGCTAAGGCCACTGGTAACCAATGGCATGGCTTATCTGTGGAATCATCTGATGGAACCACCAACTTGTATCCATACCTGCATGGAAGGACACCCACCAGGCTGTCTTTGTCATTGCTGGTACATTTAAGAAGGAACGCCTCCTGCTCTTTTCCTGTGCAGGGAGCTGAGCAAAGCTACTGCTAAAACAGATGCCAAGGCTGCAGTGTCCTTGCCCTCCCCCACCCCCACCTTTCAGCCCTGACACTGGCCTTTATTGCTCATCAACTTTTGTTGCTTCTATTTCTTCCTTTGTAATTTCCAAGGCCAAAATCCAAGTTCATTCAACAAATCTTCATTACATGGTCTCTTATATGCATGGGCTCATCTAGGTGCTGTGGGAGAGATAAGAATGGGAACTCTGGTGCCAGTCTGCTAGGTTCAAATCCCAGCTCCACCACCTAATAGCTGTGGGACAGTGGGCAAGTTGCTTAGCCCTACTGTGTCTGTTTTGTCATCTCTAAAATAGAGACAGTAACACCTACCTGGTTGGCTTGTTACAGGAGTCATTAGTTAATATATGTAAAGTTCCCAGGGGCCTGGCACACAGCAAATACCTTACAAATGTTAGCCATTATTATTACTCTTAGAAGACATGGTTCCCACCCCACACAAAAGGCTTTCATCCAGATGGAGAGATAAGATATGGCCTCTCAAAACAGTTAAAAACAAAACAAATGTCTTATTATTTATTTATTTTTTTTTTGAGACAGAGTCTCACTCTCTTGCCTGGGCTAGAGTGCCATGGCGTCAGCCTAGCTCACGGCAACCTCAGACTCCTGGGCTCAAGTGATATCTCCTGCCTCAGCCTCTCAAGTAGCTGGGACTACAGGCACATGCCACCATGCCTGGCTAATTTTTTTTCTATTTTTTTAGTTGTTTAGCTAATTTCTTTCTATTTATAGTAGAGACGGGGTCTCGCTCTTGCTCAGGCTGGTCTAGAACTCCTGAGCTCAAGCAATCCTCCTGCCTCAGCCTCCCAGAGTGCTAGGGTTACAGGCGTGAGCCACCGCACCCGGCCAAAACAATATCTATTGATTTAGTGAAATGAATGGTTTGACTATTAAGTGCCTGAAAGAGCCCTAAAAATAGAAATATCCTTCTTAATAGTGGGCATGGCCAGCAGGGGCTTCACAGAAACAGAAATGTGGTGGGATGGTAAGTCAGCATCTGAAGGATGAACTATGGAAAGGTGATGTGCAGGAGAAAGCACCGGCCAGAGTGGGTTTGGGGGCGGAGCTGACCAGCAGTAGGAAGGAAGGCCAGGAGTCTGGCTAGGGGACAAAGAATCCGGGGTTGGGTCCAAGCTGTCTCTGCACTTGGAATTGTAATTAGATCCAGGGAGGTCAGTGTGGATTCAAGACTGGGAGTCATTTGGGTCAAGCTGAGAGCTGAATCCATGAAAGTAAACAAACTCAACAGGGAGAAAGCACGTAGAAAGAGAAAAGCACACTCCCTCCAAACTTGAAGGCTACAGAAAAAAATAAACTGGCTAAGGAAGCAGAGCCAGAGTCAGGGAGGTTAGAGATGGAGCAAGGCACCAAGGGGGGAGGATGAAGTACTCCCCTTGGAAAATAAGCCTTCTACATAAAAGTATGAATGCTTCTCTCCCAGAACTTAAGCTTTCTGAGGGTGAGAACCTGTTGGTTACATTCTAAGGACCATACAAATCTGTTTTCTGCCCAAGAAATCTCTCCATATAAATAATGTGGATGTTGTTTTTTTTTTTTTTTTTTTGAGACAGAGTCTCACTCTGTTGACCGGCGCTAGGTGCTGTGGCGTCAGCCTAGCCACAGCAACCTCAATCTCCTGGGCTCAAGCCAATCCTGCTGCCTCAGCCTCCCGAGTAGCTGGGACTATAGGCATGCGCCACCATGCCCGGCTAATATTTTTTTCTATATATTTTTAGTTGGCCAATTACTTTCTTTCTATTTATAGTAGGACAGGGTCTCCGCTATTGCTCAAGCGTGGTTCGAACTCCTGACCTTGAGGATCCTCCCGCCTCGGCCTCCCAGAGGGATGTTGTTGTTAAAAGTGGCTTTTTGGCCAGTTGTGGTGGCTCACGCCTGTAATCCTAGAACTCTGGGAGGCTGAGGCGGGTGAATTGCTCGCGGTCAGGAGTTTGAAACCAGTCTGAGCAAGAGTGAGACCTCGTCTCTACTATAAATAGAAAGAAATTAATTGGCCAACTAACATATAAAGAAAAAAGTAGCCGGGTATGGTGGCGCATGCCTGTAGTCCCAGCTGCTCGGAGGCTGAGGCAGCAGGATTGCTTGAGCCCAGGAGTTTGAGGTTGCTGTGAGCTAGGCTCGGACGCCAGCCATCCACTCTACTGGGCAACAGCGAGGCTCCTGTCCAAAAAAAAAAAAAAAAAAAAAAACCCTTTCCTTTTTCAAGCAATCTTCTGAATTATTATCTTAGCCTGTCACTCCCCACCTAATCTAATGCTCACATGCCCCACCTCCAATGGTACAAAAGTGACAAGAGGATGTTAAAGTTTCAAACAAGCTGTTGGAAAATATGCACTGGGAAATATGTAGAGCTAGATATGAGCTTGCGTCAGTGTTAAAGTTAGAAATGGGGCTAGGGCAGTGGCTCACATCTATAATCCTAGTACTCTGGGAGGACAATGCAGGAGGATCACTTGAGGTCAAGAGTTCGAGATCAGCCTGAGTAAGAGCAAGACCCCTGTCTCTACTAAAAACAGAAAGAAACTAGCTGGGCACAGTGGCGCTCGCCTGTAGTCCCAACTGCTCAGGAGGCTGGGGTAGGAGGATCGCTAGAGCCCATGAGTTGGAAGTTGCAGTGAGCCGTGAGGACACCACTGCACTCTAGCCAGAGTGACAGAGTGAGACTCTGCCTAATAAATAAATAAATAAAAGAAGTGGGCCATAAAGTCCCCACCCCACCAGCTTGGACCTGGCCCTGTCGGTGAGATGGGCACTGCACAATCCCACATGTACCTGCAGCTGTTTAGCCATCCTCCAGGATGAAATGTCTCCAGGATGAGTCCCCAGCCTATCCTGTCCTAGATTGCTTCCATTCTCTTAAGCAGAGGCCACCCAGCTGTCTGTTGGTCCCTCTCATGCATAAACCATTCTGTCTGCAAACTGCTATCTTTTCACAGATTCTGAAGTGCCCAGGCTGCCAAGAGAATTAGGTGTTTAAATTAAAAAAAAAAAAAAACCTGAAAGAAAAATTAACCAACATTAATAGTGATTATCTCTGAGTGGTGGGATCATGAGTCCTTTATTTTTTTAATGCAATTTCTAATATTTTCTAATATACATATGCATTGTTTTAAGACAAGAAAAATATCTGCTGCTTTATCAAGAGGCTGGCAAATAATATCTGGGTCCCTACCTCACCACTGGAGAAATGACACAGGGAGGGCTTTGGCAGGCTCCTAAGCACTGTGCTCACTGCCTTTAATATAGCTTCTTGGCCGGGCGCGGTGGCTCACGCCTGTAATCCTAGCTCTCTGGGAGGCCGAGGCGGGCGGATTGCTCAAAGGTCAGGAGTTCAAAACCAGCCTGAGCAAGAGCGAGACCCCGTCTCTGCTATAAATAGAAAGAAATTAATTGGCCAACTGATATGTATATAAAAAATTAGCCGGGCATGGTGGCGCATGCCTGTAGTCCCAGCTACTTGGGAGGCTGAGGCAGAAGGATCGCTGGAGCCCAGGAGTTTGAGGTTGCTGTGAGCCAGGCTGACGCCACGGCACTCACTCTAGCCTGGACAACAAAGCGAGACTCTGTCTCAAAAAAAAAAAAAATATAGCTTCTTATCATTTCAAAATACTGAGGTTTCCAGAGGGAAAAAAGCAAAAGGACCCTACTTTTTTCTGGTAAACACTCCGTATAATAAGTTCCAAAAAGGTGCTAGGACAGGGAGGTGAGGAAGACCTCAGCCAGGGCACAGGCAGCTTGCCTAAGCCAGAGTGAATTCAGAATTCCAATAGGCCCCATCTGCGGATTCCAGAAGCCAAAAAGGTGAGGTCACAGGTAGATGCCCTATTTGCAGTTTATGCCAGGCCCTTCCCTTTCTGGATGCTTTAACTGGATGGCAGAGGCTGCCCAAATGCCATTCCAGATTTAGAAAGAAACTGAGCATCCAAGTGTGCAAGGTCCTGCTCTTGTCTCCCCAAGACGGTGGTGGTGACTGCCAGCAGGCTGAGCAGCCTGCTTAGTGTTTGCCCAAAAGTAACAGTAAAGAGGTCTGCCCATGACTGTTAATCTTAAACTTGGGGTTGTCGTGCTTCTAGGCTTTGGAAAGGGTGGAGTGATTTCAACACAGTATAAAGGAATAGAGTACCAGGTATATGCTCTGTGTTCTATTGCACAATGGAATAACACATAGCTAGTAAGAATGAGGCAGCTCTACATGTGCTGATAGAGAACAAACACCTAAGACTGATGAAGTTTTTCTTAAAGTGTGGCACTGTGTGTGTTGTGTGTGTAGGATGCTATCATTTGTGTGACAAAAGCTTAATACCAGAGAATATCTCTGGAGAGATAAATGAATTGGCAACAGTGGTTACCTCTGGGCAGGAGTGGGAGATGGAGCATAGAGGTAGAAAAACAGACTTTCTTTTCCATTCATCTTTTGAATTCCAGACCATTTTTAAATGGTCTGCATCCATACATATGCAAACACATACATGTAAAAGAGTGGGGATCAGCTGCAGGAAGCTATGAAGTATTTCCTATCTCTTCCAACCCCTCTCTAGAAGCAGAACCCTACCTCCTCCTCTAGGCACCATCTGTGCTGCTGCCCACCCACCTCCACCCCTGTGCTCACCCACAATAGCCTAATTTTCCCTCTCCCTTTCACCCCCCACCAGCCTTCCATCTGACCACAGAGTAAGAGGATTGCCAGTTCCTGCTTTCCTCAGCATCCCTAAACTTTAAAATATCTGTTCTATGTTGCATTCTTCAGGACCCTGTAGAACTAATGAACTAATCCTACTAAAGTTACCCCTTCCAGATGCATCTGCATACTAAGAGTGGACTTCAGCCAGGGAGTGACAGAAGGTTAGGATTTTTAGGGCGAGCGAGGCAGAATCAAGGTGTAGTGAAATGAACACTACTAGGCCTGAGGGTCAGGAGACCTTGGTCTTATTCAGGCTGTGTGACCTGAGGCAAATCACTTCACTTCTCAGGGACTTAATTTCCTCAACTGATATCGTATACAATCTGCAATAGATGGCCTTTCCAGATCTCACATTCTGTAAAATCCCACTGCATAATGCTGCTCCACTGACCTCCAGCCCCCTCTGAACTCACCAATGTGTTGCATGTGCTGGACAGTCCTGTCCAGCGGAAATACAATGCGAGCCACATATGCAATTTTAAACAATCTGGGAGCAACACTAAAAAAGTAAAAAGAAACAGATGAAATTAATTCTAATAAATTTTATTTAACCCAGTATATGCAAAATATCATTTCAACATATGATCAATATAAAAAATTACTGAGTTTCCTTTTATCTTTTAGTACTAAGACTGCAAAATCTAAGTATGTACTTTACATGTGCAGAATCTCAACTTGGACCAGCCTCATGTTAAGTGCTTAAAAGCCACATTTGATGAATGGCTACCATATTCGACGGTGCACGTGTGAGTCCAACTGGGAAGCCCTCCCTTCATTTCTGACCTCTTGAAGCCCAGGGCTGAAGACTGATTTGACCACCAGCCTACATCCTTCAAAAAAGTCAAGGTACAAGGGCAGTCTGGGTTCTGAGTTCCTCGCCTGACTAGGCAGGGAGCTGGGGTTGGTTGCCAGACAGCACAGCAGAGTTCTGGACACACCTAAAACAGAAGCCAGGGGCCTGCACACCGATCAGGACTGGCGAACTCCAGGGGAGAGCAGAAAAGTGAGTTGGGCATAATCAGGTCCTTTTTAAGTTCCGGGTTGCACAACAGAAAACCCCACAAGCTCGCCGGAAGCACACAGACCTCTTGTCATGTCAGCTATATCAATCCACTCCCTTAAACACCTCTGAGCACCTTCTACCTCCTGGGCACTAAGCTGGCAGTGGGGACACAACCACTCATGAGAGCTCTTACTTGGGGCTCCCTCACTGTTCATACTGGGCACTGCTTCCCATGGCCCACAGGGTAAAATCCAGATTCTCTTCATGGGATTTAAGGCCCTTCTGTACCGGTTTTGTCTAACACCTCCACTCCGATGGGAGGTGCTTCTCCACTCTGGCTGTCATAAGCACGATCTCGTGGACTCACCCACAGGTGCCTGTGAGACAAGAACTTACAGATGAGGACGCTGAGGCTGGGAAGGGCAAACCTCTCTCCAACAATCACGCGTGTGAGAGCACGGATCCGAACAGGACTTACACGCTGCGACAGCCACACTCTCCAACTTCACAAAGCTCACCGTTACTGGAGGCAGCAACGAAGTCCACACAATTATAAGTCCAGGGGGTCACTGCCAAAAACGGATGTAAAACAGTGGACTGAAAGGGTTGGAAAGGGTTCCCCGAGTAAGTCTGGAAGGTTGAGAAGCTCCTGAGGCCAAGAGCAGGCAGTGGGAGGTAAGGCACAGGCCTCAGGGAGCAGGCTCGGGAAGCTGCAACTGCCGAGCAGAGGCCTCCCATCGGAGTGGAGGTGTTAGACGAAACCGGTACAGAAGGGCCTTAAATCCCATGAAGAGAATCTGGATTTTACCCTGTGGGCCACGGGAAGCAGTGCCCAGTATGACCAGTGAGTGAATGGGACCAGACTTTCATTTTAAGAAATCATTCCATAGGAAGGATTTCAAATCTTACGTGACTCCCTTTCTCTCCCCAGGGTTCTAAGCTCTATTTAAAGGCTAATATAAAAAAGCGTAGATTTGTTTCCTACAGATTGAACCATGCCCTAGGGATTTAATTCTAAGGGCTAGTAAAGTTTATGTACTTTATTCATTTTTCTAAAGAGACATTGTTGGCTGGCAACTTCTGAATATCAACCAATGAAAAGCAAGCGAGTATCCCCTATATTCGTGGCATCATCACTGACTGAGGTCCCGGTACAGGGCGGCTTGCTTGGCCTCTGGCTGCAGAAAGGCTGGCCCTGCCGGAAGCCTTTCGCAACCCTGACAGCACAGTAGTGCTGTACATATACTTGCACAAAAACATGTAAGATTCTGTGGCTAGCAACAAAAAACATTGACGCTTTTTTTCTTTTTTTTTTTTTTTGAGACAGAGTCTCACTTTGTTGCCCAGGCTAGAGTACCGTGGCGTCAGCCTAGCTCACAGCAACCTCAAACTCCTGGGCTCAAGCAGTCCTACTGCCTCAGCCTCCCGAGTAGCTGGGACTACAGGCATGCACCACCATCTTGGCTAATTTTTTCTATATATATCAGTTGGCTAATTAATTTCTTTCTATTTATAGTAGAAACGGGGTCTCACTCTTGCTCAGGCTGGTTTTGAACTACTGACCGCAAGCAATCTGCCCGCCTCGGCCTCCCAGAGTGCTAGGATTACAGGCGTGAGCCACCATGCCTGGTCTACACTGAAGCATTTCAACTCCTCGAATGCTAAGGCCCCACTGCCTCCTCCCCTAAGGTTTTATCATTCTGTCTTCAAAATCCATGTCACCCCTCTACCCTCCCCCCATCCCTCCCAGCTCGCCTGATTACTCAGTTCCATTTTCAGCTCAGCAGGCTCTGAGCTGGCCTACTTTTCAAGGCCGCGTGAGCAGAAACATTTGGGCATTATACAAACAACAGAACATAACTAGGACAACGGGGCCTAGAAAGGGGGGCGCCTGCAGCAGTGTGCACCAAGGAGGCAAAGATGCAAGCAGAATCCGGTGACACAGCCTGGGACAAGTCTGCAGGGCACAAGGGAGGGAGGGGTGGGCAGAGATGCTGAGTGTAACAGAGCAGGGCTTGGCTGCTTATAACATGGAAAACCGACCTGAAGACCAAGAGGCAGCTAGCAAGATCACCTTACCCCGCGATACGAGCTGAGCAGGGTTCTGAAAGCCATGCCGTCTGAACGGCGAGAGGGCTCAAGCAGCTTCAAGCCCACTGCGGACCACAGGAACAGGGTACAAATACATGATTAGACCTGCTATGTGGAGAGGAGCATGAGAGAGAAGACAGAGGCCCTTTCAAACCTCACTCTGATTAAGGTACTGACTAAGGTACTGCCCTATGGGGCCATTATCAGAGGCGGTTCTTCAAGGACATGAAAGGCCAAGGGTCACTCCATGAGGCTTTTTCTGAACTTCCCGCTCCATCAACACTCTGACCTGAACAATCACCCTCTTGCCTTTGCCAAGAAGGCGGAATGTTTCAGGGACACAGTCCCTGTTCCCAAACCCTCCTTTGTGAGAGGCCCCGGGTGTGACGGGGTGCTGTTCTGGAGGAGTTGCACCCTCTAGCCCCATTCTGTTTCCACATTACAGACCAAGGTCACCCAAAGTGGGGTGCAAAGGGGAGGGCACCCAGGCAGCAAAACACAGCATGCCTGACAAGATGGGCTTTCTGGAATCAGGCTGGTCCCACTCCTGCAGGACAGGCCCCCCCTTGCTTCTGCTGTGGCGGGCAAGGAGGTCAGCGAGGTCCAGGTACATGGGAAGACGGCTCAGTCTCGGACGTGGAGCTGGTAGAGGCGAGAAGACACTGCCCTCTGGATCCAGTGGAAGAGCTGAGCCAACTTGTAGAGGAAAGGCAGGGAGGAAGGAGACGCTGCAGGGCACAGGGATAACTGCTGTGAACATTCCTCCCTCCTTCACTCAGCTGGCTCCCACCCACTGGCTCTCCCCATGGCTCCCACCCATGGCTCCCCACCATTGGCTCTCCCCATGGCTCCCACCTATGGTTCCCCACCATCAGCTCTCCCCATGGCTCCCCACCATCAGCTCTCCCCATGGCTCCCCACCATTGGCTCTCCCCATGGCTCCCACCCATGGCTCCCCACCATCGGCTCTCCCTGGCTCCCACCCATGGTTCCCCACCATCAGCTCTCCCCATGGCTCCCCACCATCAGCTCTCCCCATGGCTCCCCACCATTGGCTCTCCCCATGGCTCCCACCCATGGCTCCCCACCATCGGCTCTCCCTATGGCTCCCACCCATGGCTCCCCACCATCAGCTCTCCCCATGGCTCCCACCCATGGCTCCCCACCATTGGCTCTCCCCATGGCTCCCACCCATGGCTCCCCACCATCGGCTCTCCCCATGGCTCCCCACCATTGGCTCTCCCCACGGCTCCTCCCCATGGCTCCTCACCATTATCTCTCCCCATGGCTCCCACCCATGGCTCCCCACCATCAGCTCTCCCCATGGCTCCCACCCATGGCTCCTCACTATCAACTCTCCCCATGGCTCCCACTCATGGCTCCCCACCATTGGCTCTCCTCATGGCTCCCACCCATGGCTCCCCACCATCAGCTCTCCCCATGGCTCCCACCATTGGCTCTCCCCATGGCTCCCCGACATCGGCTCCCACCTGTGGCTCCCATCCATGGCTCCCACCATTGGCTCTCCCCATGGCTCCCCACCATTGGCTCTCCCCATGGCTCCCACCATTGGCTCTCCCCATTAGCTCCCACCCTTTGGAAACACTACCACCTTGGGATCAGCCATGGTCTTTTAAAAGCATATTTTGGTGCTTAATGTAATTTGCATCCTCCCCAATAATAAGAAGTTCACTTTCTCTAGGATGTATTCTCTGAGATATATTTTCTTTACAGTGACCTTAAAATTGCTAAGAAAAAGATCCAAATGTATTAAGTTTTAATTCAACCTTTTTGCTCTGTAAGAAACTGATAAAAGTGGTGGCTGCTGGGGAGAAGAATTTTGAAAGAGACTTTTCACTACATGTTATACCTCTCTGTACATTTTAAATTTGAAGCCAAATGACAGTATTATTAATACCTATTTTTATCATAATTATATTGAAAGTAAAATTCTACTGAGTTTGTTTTCCTTGTTTGAATAACTGATTTTTTTTTTTACAGGGAATATATAGTTCTTTCTTAAAAGGGAAAAATGTTACTTTTTTACCAAAGCTATTGACAATCTATGCTCATTATATCTTTCAACCAAGTTCCAATGAAGGCCCAGGCACAGGCTCTTCCCTCCCCTGCGTCAGCACCATGAGTCCAGCCCACCACTGAGTCCAGGGACCCTTAGGGAAGAAGCTCCCAGCAGCCTTGCAAATAGTAGGCTCAAATGGCCTCATGCTGCCCCCACTAGGAGACTGGGGTTATGAGACTAAAGAATTTCTAAATTTTTATCCAGTCTCTGGAACAAAGTAGAAAGTCAGAGGTGGACAGGAGTGAATACCAACTATCTTTAGCATTTCTGAGAGCTAACTTGTGACGTTTTTGTAAAGCAAACAGAGCTATTCAAAAGGAATTCCTGCTGCATGTTCAGCAAAGGGGTTCAACAGATAGCCCTGAGCTATGTGGAAAAAGCTGAGTAGGAGAAAGGGAAATAGGGAAGGAAGGAAGATCTAAAGACTAAGTCAAGCCTGGCGTGGTGGCTCATGCCTGTAATCCTAGCTCTCTGGGAGGCCGAGGCGGGCGGATTGCTCAAGGTCAGGAGTTCAAAACCAGCCTGAGCAAGAGCAAGATCCCGTCTCTACTAAAAATAGAAAGAAATTAATTGGCCAACTGATATATATATAAAAAATTAGCCGGGCATGGTGGCACATGCCTGTAGTCCCAGCTACTCGGGAGGCTGAGGCAGTAGGATCGCTTGAGCCCAGGAGTTTGAGGTTGCTGTGAGCTAGGCTGACACCTCGGCACTCACTCTAGCCTGGGCAACAAAGCGAGACTCTGTCTCAAAAAAAAAAAAAAAAAAAAAAGACTAAGTCAAGAAGTGGCTGTTTTAGAAATAGATAAATTATGTGACCCTGGGCTAGTCACTTTACCTCTCTGGTTATTAGGTTTCTTGACTAAAAAGGAAAGAAAATGAAGGGACTAGATAAGGTTTACAGTTTTCCTTTCAGTTTTGAAAGGTATGCAATTTTATTCTACGTCTAAATTCATGAGAGGAATAGAGATCATAATTCACATAGAGTAACACACAGGCAAAAAATCTAAAGGAGTGGCCGGGCGCTGTGGCTCACGCCTGTAATCCTAGCTCTTGGGAGGCCGAGGCGGGCGGATTGCTCAAGGTCAGGAGTTCAAAACCAGCCTGAGCAAGAGCGAGACCCCGTCTCTACTATAAATAGAAAGAAATTAATTGGCCAACTGATATATATATAAAAAAATTAGCCGGGCATGGTGGCGCATGCCTGTAGTCCCAGCTACTCGGGAGGCTGAGGCAGGAGGATCGCTTGAGCCCAGGAGTTTGAGGTTGCTGTGAGCTAGGCTGAAGCCACGGCACTCACTCTAGCCTGGACAACAAAATGAGACTCTGTCTCAAAAAAAAAAAAAAAAAATCTAAAGGAGTGAGCACCTAATCATGGCCCAGTGCTTATGCACCTGAGGGATTAATTCCCTGGAAATGACCAGGTTGTTCCCAAATATCACTTAGAGAGCTCAATTCTATTTCACAGTGAAGCAGAAAACAGAATAGTCAAAATGTTCAACAACAGGGTTGTTAAATCAGTTATGAAAGTGTCTGTATATTCAAATATTTAGCCATGTAAAGCCATATTTATGACATGCAACTGCCTACAATATCTATATCCACAGAAAAAGACTGAAGGTATAATCATTGCAGTAGCAGATTTCTGTTTTCCTCTTTATGCTTTTCTCTATTTTCCACATTTTCTAAAATGTATGCATATTTCATTGACAATTTAGTATATTTTGAATTAATATTTAATTAGGCATTAACTCTTGAATAAACAACTTTTGTAGGTATTATGATGAGGGGAAGGTTTTTTTTAATCCTGAGGTTCTAGTCAGAATTCACTCATAGAAAAAGTACATGACCAAATGACTTAGCCAGTGTTCAGGGGTCAACAGGGCATAAAAGACTGTCTAGACTGCTCTCAGGGACTCTAGACCTGGTCTCTCCTTGCAGGTGGCTCTAACTCTTGCTCAGGTACAGCAATTCCTCCTTGTGGAAGTGACTCAGGGAGATGTCACAGGAGAAACCTCCATCCCCAGCAGGACCCCTGGTGGGAGTGCCGAAGAGCTCCTACTCCCACAGGCACCATCCCAGGAAGGGTGGAAGGGAGGCTCCATCACTCACCTGGATCAAACCTCACCACTAAGAGACAGAGGATCAAGGCAGCCAGGAGGCTCTTTTTGAAGGGCAGAGAAAAGAAGTGGCTCACTGCAGAGTCCCAAAGCTGGCGAACCAACAGCAGTAGTGGCAGGAACTTGTGAGAGAGAGTACCTGGTCAGAGAGAGAGAACAGCTTTAGGGGAAGTTAGAGGAATGAGCTTCCCTGACTCTGAGCTCTAAGCTTACTTATAAGAGTTGAGCAAAAGGGAATAAGAATAATTTTCTCACATAGCTCATAAAGTGGTTCTAAAGGAAATTTCAAAAGCTTCAAAAGTGTTTTAAGGACAGACACACCACATCACTAGACTACCATCTCCTTAAGAGAGGACTTTGACAGACAACAACTATGAGCTGGGTAAACTTGGCATATTTGGGGATTTTTTTAATGGCCTCATTATTTTATAGCAATCTTTATATTCTGGGCTAAGATGCACGCACAGAGTTATACAGAGCAACAGTTCTGATATCACAGCAATGCAGGGAAATAAAGGGCCCTTAATACATACAGTAAAGCATCCACAAGTCATGAATTTGAATATAAATATGAACACTACCAACCCAAGAACCAGTGAGGTCCAATCCTGATAGACAACCTGGATTGCCATCAAACCCCTTTCTCACCCCCACCTCCCCAGGAAGTGCAGGGCGGAGAGCTTGGGCAGCCACTGGTCAGCACCAAAGACAACAACTTTCTGGCAAATAAGTCATTCTATCTCAGCAGGTCGTGCTCTGAAGCACACAAAGAAAAATACTTTGGAGAATAGGAATTACAGTCTCCTAATTAAGCTGAAGGACTTCATGTTAAAAAAAAAAAAAAGGAATAGGCCTATTCTATGATGTTGCCAAGAGAAAAAACAGGATCAATCAGTGAGTAAAAACTACAAGGAGAAAAACTTAAATTCAGCATAAGGAAGAACGTTCCTACAGAACTGTACATAGTTAAAAATTCAGGAGATAGTGACTTTTCTATCCTTGGAAGTATTCACACATAGACTAGGTTATCACTCAAGGAAAAGGGGCTGAAAGGATTCAAGGATCAGGAAAAGGGTCTGGAGTAGAGGACCTTTAAAGTCAGTCCCCTCTGATAGGACAACCCCCAGACCACCCCTGCATAGGGCCCATCATACAATGCTAGCCAGGCATACAGTGTGGGTCTTGGAGAGGTTTCCCTACAGAAGCCATCTTGCAAACTGCAGTCTAGCGGGCAGGGGTGTACATCAATCACTGACGAAAGCACTCAAAGCGCTAGTAAGTGAAGGCAGACAGAAGGCTGGGGAGGGGGGCGCAAGATGAACAAGCAAAGTCAAGTTACCAAGTTATCACGCTAGTTTCTTATTTTCTGTCTGTTATCCCCAGCATGTCTCCACTGTGTCTGTCTTGAGGCTAGCACTTAAAGGAGGAGTAACACCACACCCAGGCCAGCATGGTGGAGGCAGGAAATCTAGTCAGAGGACCCCAAGCGGAAGGTGACTTTCAGGAGACAAGACCCAGCAACACGTCCCCATATGGAGCATCTCCTTCCACTGCCACCTTCAGAGGTCTGGGCTTGGCCTTGTTGAGCAACTCAACGCCTGTGAATCATTCTGTGATTCAAGAGTTACTCATACAAAGAATTGCTTCCAAACTTCCAGGAATATCATGATGGACCCCGAGGTGTAGGAAAAGCCCACAGCTCCACTTTACAGAGGCCATAGATGGATAATGTCCTACCTTCCTGTTTTAGCTTCTGGGCCTCCTTAGTGCCTGAGTGTTCTTGTTTCTGTTGTTGCCTCGTTGTGTAAATGGCCTGAAGTAACTCCAGCTGCTGCTCCTCCCCAAAGGCTGCAGAGCTCACCACTAGCTCCTCAGCCTCTGACAAACAGCCCAGAGGCAGCAGGACTCGCTGCAGGTGAAGTTCTGCCAAGGTTCCATATTCTGGAAGGTCGTGGTTGGCTGGGTCTTGGAGCCAGGCACTAACCACATCCAGCACAGCTCCAGGCTCTTGCATTTTGCTGTATAAAAGAATACTGCAGGCCCAAATAACCCAATCCCCAAAAGAAAAGAGTCAGTGCTCCACAGTTGGTTTATTTCTCATAACCACTATGCTTCTCCTATCCAACCCCTCCCCTGTGTCCCCCAGTCCTCCCTATGGAATGCTAGGATTGTTAAGAATGAGGAGTTGCCTATGACAAACCCTCCACTAACATATTAAATGGGGAAAACCTGAACGCTTTTCCTCTAAGATTAGGAATAGGATAAGGATGCCCACTTTCAACAATTCCATTTGACATAGTACTAGAAGTCCTAGCCAGAACAATTAGGCAACAGAAAGAAATAAAAAGCATCCAAATTGGAAAGGAGGAAGTCAAATTGTCCCAGTTTACAGATGACATGATCTTATATGTAGAAAACCCTAAAGATTCCACATAAAAACTGAGAATAAATGAATTTAGTAAAGTTACAGGATGCAAAATCAATGTACAAAAATCAGCAGTGTTTCTATATACTACTAGTGCACTATCTGAAAAAGAGATCAAGAAAACAATTCCATTTATAATAGCTACAAAAAAAAAGATACCTTGGAATAAGCTCAACCAAGCAGGTGAAAGATCTCTACAGAGAAAACCATAAAACACCGATGAGGCCAGGCATGGTGGTTCATGCCTGTAACCCTAGCACTCTAGTAGGCCAACACAGGAGGACTGCTTGAAGTCAGGAGTTCGAGACCAGGCTGAGCAAGGGCAAGACCCATTCTCTTCTAAAATAGAAAAAATTAGCCGGGCATGGTGGCCCATGCCTGTAGTCCCAACTACTTGGGAGGCTGAGGCAAGAGGATCACTTGAACCCAAGAGTTTAAGGTTGCTGTGAGCTAGGCTGATGCCACAGCACTCTAGCTTGGACAACAGAGCAAAACTCTGTCTCAAGAAAAAGAAAGAAAGAAAGAAAACACTGAGAAAGATATTGAGGACACAAATAAATGGAAAGATATCCCATGTTCATGGATTGGAAGAATTAATATTGTTAAAATGTCCATACTACCCAAAGTGACCTACAGATTCAATGTAATCACTATCAAAATACCAATGACATTCTTCATAGAAATAGAAAAAATAATCCTAAAACTCATATGGAACCACAAAAGACACCAAATAGTGTCAACACAATCCTGAGCAAAAAGAACAAAGCTGAAGGTATCACACTACCTGACTTCAAAATATACTACAAAGCAGGAAGTAAGTAAATATGGAGTATAAGAAATAAATAAATAAAATGTGTTTTTAAGCTGCAGTACCTAAAACAGCATGGTACTGGCATAAAAACAGACACATAGACCAGAGGAACAGAATAGTGAACCAGAAACAAATTCACATACCTACAGTCAACTGATTTTCAACAAATAGTACAAGAAAAAATGGGTAACCATATACAGAAGAATGAGACCAGATCCCTTCCTCTCACCATATTAAAAAAAAAACCCAAAAACAATCAACTCAAAATGTATTGAAGACTTAATTATAAAACCTGAAACTATGAAACTACTAGAAGAAAACATAGGGGAAACACCTTATAACATTGGGCTAGGCAAGTATTTTTTAAGTAAGACCTCAAAGCACAGACAACGAAAGCAAAAATAGACAAATAGAATCACATCAAGCTAAAATGCTTTTGCAGGGCCGGGCGCTGTGGCTCACGCCTGTAATCCTAGCTCTTGGGAGGCCGAGGCGGGCGGATTGCTCAAGTCAGGAGTTCGAAACCAGCCTGAGCAAGAGCGAGAACCTGTCTCTACTATAAATAGAGAGAAATTAATTGGCCAACTGATATATATATAAAAAATTAGCCGAGGTTGGTCCGAGTGCAGTGGTGTTTACAACTAATTGATCACAACCAGTTACAGATTCCTTTGTTCCTTCTCCACTCCCACTGCTCCACTTGACCAGCCTTAAAAAAAAAAAAAAAAAAAAAGGGCAAATGGGGAAGGGCATATCTCTAACCCTTGCTAGGGAGAGGCAAAGATACAAAAAGCAACCAAAATGTTTGTACTCACATATATTCTTGAAATAAAAAAAAATGGGCAAATGACATTAATAGACAATTTTCAAATAAAGATATACCACACTGTGGGTTATAGGGGTGGGGTAGGGGGGCTGTGGGAGGGAAGACATTCCAAATGGCTAACAGATATATGAAAAAATGCTCAACATCACTAATCATCAGGGAAATACAAATCAAAATCACAATGAGATACCACTTCACTCCAGTTAAAATGGCCATCAAAAAGACAAAAGAAAACAAGTGTTGGCAAGGATGTGGAGAAAAGTGAACACCTGGCATAGTGTTGGTGGGAATGTTAGTTAGCACAGCCATTATGGAAAACAGTATGCAGGTTTTTAAAAAAAATTCCTAGGAAATAACAAGCAGCTCTCTCAGCTCTGTCCACTGTCATCTCACTTCACTCCTATTCCATGTCCCCTCTCTTCTTCTTTTCCTCTACCCACTCCTAAACTCCTCCTTCCTCATCCTTATTGCTGTTTTGTGGTCTGAAAAAAGGTAGGGGAAAGAATATTTGGAAGGAAATGGTAGGGAAGGGGAAGAAAGGAGGTATTAGATCCTGATTTAGCAAAGGACATGAAAATCCTCTTGTTCCTGAACTCATCCAATGAGTCACCAACAAGGACCTACCACAGCTCCAGGACTTTGGGGGGTAGCTTTTCAGGGACCTGGTAATACTGAAGGACCCAGCAGAGGACTTCCCGCCACCGATCCATTTCTGCCAGGGCCTGGATCCCCACAACACACAAGGAGCATTTCACCTCCAAGGAACTGTTAGCAGAAAGACCAATTAGGGTTAGAAGTGGTTCCCCTCCATCTCCATTCCCACACCCACCCTGGGACAGTTCTCCAGCTCACAACTCTGCAGACATCATACCTCTCCTTATTAGTAGTCAGGTGGGCCTCACAACTGGCCTCATGCACTGCCCTTTCCCCCAGAAGCTAAAAGTTCCTGTAAACTTCTCAGAGACAAATCAGCTATTGCCAAACACAGGGCTGTATCCATGAGATCAGCTTTAAATGAACAGGAAGGGTAATCCTGAGAGGAAATGACAACGTGCAGCACAGGTGTGTGGGTTGAAAAAGAACTGGTACTAAGAGTTTGCTTAGTGAAGAAACAGACTTGGAGCAAGGTGTCTGGCTGACTGTGGTAGGTACAGGAACCCCACAACTGGCCTTTTAGCACGACCCAGTATGGTTTCTCCAGACACCCAGAAGCAAAGCCTTCAGCATCCACTGCAACAAGCCCACACCCAGCCCCCTAAAAACACAATTCATCATTCTCTGTGGTCGGCGTTGATTACCCACCCCCTCCCTAGTGTGGCCTAACCAAACTTTACAATTCACAGAGAAACACCATCATCTGCCAAAGGAGGCTGGTGCCATTAGAAAGAGCAATGCAGGACCAAGGTTTTCTGCGGGTTCTTTAACACACGGACTGTCACACTAGACAAAAAATATTTTTCCCTGGGTCCATGGTGTTTTACTATGAAAATAGAATAAATACTTTTAAACCAAAATGGTCCTTTCTAATTTAATGAAAAATTTGTTATTTTTTTGTTTTCTGTGTGAGAGTTATATGCCACTCACGTGGCACTACAATAAATTTTCACACTGCACCCCAACTGAGTTGTGACTAACAAATACTGAGTTTGTTTCGAAGAACTGTGTCTTCCTATGCTTCTTGAGGCCCCAAGCTCAAAACTAGCATGAGTTAAATACAACTGACATGGCAGTTGATGTGTTAATCCGTCCTCTGATAGGACCAGAACACTACTGCCATGAGCTCCACTGCCCATCATTAGCCAAAGGCAGAGTAAACAACTTGGGGGTGGTGGGAGGGTGTCACCTAGGAGAGGACTTCCGCCACCTGCTTACTGAACCTGCTTACAGACAGAATTTAACTTAATACGCATTCAACCTCCCCATCGTGTCATTGTGCCCTGGAACAGGGAGCAAAGAACTGGCTGTGGGTTCCCACTAAGCTCTGTTATGCAACTTGACCCCTTTTTCATTGTACAGCGCCTCGGTTTCCTCCTCTGTGGAATGGGCACAGTATGTGCAACGGGCCTCTCAGAGAGAAACCTCTGATGAAAGCCAGGTGGAAATTCCTCATGAGCAATCTGGGAATGACAGAGATCCTGAGATCTTGAGGACCTTCCCAAGAGCACCCCGACATGAACGGCGCCCAGCACGTACGTGCCCGCGGGCTCCTCCGCCAGGGCCCGGCAGGCGCGGTCGCAGGCCTGCAGCGCCGCGCGGAAGTCCAGGTGCACCACGAGGAGGTCGGCCGCCTCCTCCAGCAGGTCCACGGCCGGCGCCCGGGCTGGGGAGGCGCGCACCGGCTCGCTGCTGCGCAGGGGCCCCCCGGCGCCCCGGAGCGGGGCTGCAGACGTCGAGGAGTCGCTCTTCATAGCCGGGCCGGGCTCGGGGCCTGCCTCCTCAGACGGCAGCGTGGCCGCGGGTCCGGAGGCGCCGGGATTCGCGGGGTGGCCTGGGAGAGGCGGAGAGCGCTACAGCCTCGCCCACGCCCCTTCCCGGGCTCGACTCCTGGAGAAGCCGACGGAAGGGGTCGTCTCTAAAGCAAAGAAAGGCTGGGCTGGGCTGGCCTGGCACCTGGGAACCGGCTTACACCTCAGATTCGCAGAATTGCCGCATCCCTGTATAACCTAGCTTCTCCGGCCCCACGGTATGTGCCGGAACCACCTTAGATCCGCGCTCCTCGTTGCCAGCCGAACCCCTCACCGCTAGCACCAGCACATCTCTGGAGCGCCCATAACGCCCGCGGACACGAGGCTTCCCGGAGGCGCGGAGCACTCTGGGAGCTGTAGTTCCCCAGCTCTCGGCTCTGCGAACCTGTAGAGGCAAACGCGAGGGCTCGGACTCCAACCCCCAGCATGCCGCGCCCCAGAAACTATCTCTGTCCCAGGAGAAAACAAACTGGCCCAGCAGTTTCGGGATGGGGAATGAGGGCAGATGGACCATGAACGAAACCGAAGCTCTCGGTGGGATGAGGAGGTCCTCTCACACTAATCGGTTCCAGCGGAGGCTGGACGGAAGAAATTCCAGTAATGGAGGGGGAGTTACGTGCACGCTTCTAATTCTGAGCTTCTGCGGGGGTGGCAATTTAGGCGTCAGGAGAGTAGTCTAGGAAAGGCGCTGAAAAGAAACATCACAGCGCGCCGCTTTTCCGCCTTCCCAGGCCTAGTTCACAGTTACTCAGTGCTAAAAGGCCTGTCACTGCGTGCACTCTTACTTAATTCTTCCCTCAACCTCTTGTGGGCTAAAGACAACTGTTACAGGTGGGGAAATTGGAGCTTATTTAAATAGTTTGGCAAAGGTCACGCATCTAGTAAGTGACAAGATCTCAAACCAAGGCTCTTTTGTCTCAAAGACATGTATTTAGACACTATTCTCTGCTGCAGGGACAGAACTAAGACTATGCTTTTTATTCGGGGGCTGTACATTCATTGCAGCAGTGAGTTACCTAAGCTCCTTGAGCCTTCATTGTCTCGTATGAAATAAGGATATTGTGAAAAATAAAGCCGTACAGTCTGTAATGCAATTTATAATAAAGCACGGGGATCAGAGTAGGTAGTCAATAAATTATAGATATAATAATTATTACATAATCTTACACAGATACATACATCACACTTATTAGATTCTGTGCTTCACCCACACTTTACTAAGCCTCCCACATTTGTACTAGGCTCTCTTGGCTTTAGTTTCTCCCCACTTCCCTACCTCTTGAACTCTCTCCAAAGCTTCCTTTGAATCATTTACTCCCCTAGAGATTAGATTAGACAGGCCAGACACAAAGTAAGCACCTGCTTACATCATACATCAATTTCCCTTGTCACCAGGCATAGACACACCCATCTTCTGGGCTTTTGGCTCTCCGCAGAAAATCCTCATGGAAAGCTGAGGCAGAAGCATCAAGTCCATCAGACTCTGAGGAAAGAGAAGTATGAACCCTGTAATCACATAAAAGTGAAGCGAGGACTCCACTTATTTCACAGATACTTTTTGACTACCTTCTAGGCGGCAGGCACTGTTCTAGCCATGGGGGATCCCACAGTGACCAAAAGAGACAAAAATGTCTGCTTTCGTGAGCTTACATCATAGTGGAATGAAAGAGACAATAAAAAATAAGCAAGTAAGATGTATATGGTAGTATGTCAGATATTGATAAATAGTAAGGAGAAATAAATTTTAAAAAATAAAGATGAGGCCAAGCCTGGTGGCTCACACCTGTAATCACAGCACTTTCGGAGGCTGAGGTGGGAGGATTGCTTGAGGCCAGGAGTTTGAGAACAGCTTGAACAACATAGCAAGACCCCATCTCTCCAAAAAAATAGAAAAATTAGCTGGGCATGGTGGTGCACAACTACAGTCCCAGCTACTCGGGAGGCTGAGGTATGAGGATCACTTGAACCCAGGTGTTTGAGGTTCCAGTGAGCTATGATGATCCCACTGTACCCTACCCCGGCAATAGAGTGAGATCTTGTCTCAAAAATAAAAATAGAAGAGAAATTTGGAGTGACACAGTGGGGAAGTAGCATTGGTATCTGTATTTAACTTTGTTTTCTAACAGCAAATTCAGAGTAAGGGACAGAGCAGAGAGAAAAATCTGACCCTCACACTCAGGACTAGCCCCTGTTGATGGAGTCACTATTCATTTTGGAACACTGCCCTTGGGATCAACATATTCTCAAGTGTTCTTTGTGAGGAGCTCTACCCTGCGACCCTCCTCCTCACCAGGCCATATTTATTCCCCCACAGAAAACTCTAGAGGCAAAGCCAAGATGTGTGGAAAGTGCACATCATTCTAAACTGAGGTTGCCAAAATGTTTGATCAAGTCTGTCTCAGATTTGACATTAGATCATGAAGATCATTAGTAATAACATAATTATTTGGCTACAAAAAAGTAACAACATCGGGCTGGGCACTGTGGCTCATGCCTGTAATCCTAGCACTCTGGGAGGCCAAGGCGGGTGGATTGCTCAAGGTCAGGAGTTTGAAACCAGCCTGAGCAAGAGTGAGACCCCGCCTCTACTAAAATTAGAAAGAAACTAATTGACCAATTAAAAATATATATACAAAAAATTAGCTGGGCATGGTGGCGCATGCCTATAGTCCCAGCTACTCAGGAGGCTGAGGCAGGAGGATCGTTTGAGCCCAGGAGTTTGAGGTTGCTGTGAGCTAGGCTGACGCCACAGCACTCACTCTAGCCTGGGCAACAAAGTGAGACTGTCTCAAAAAAAAAAAAAAGTAACAACAACAACCTGTTTCTCAGAACGAGGTTTAGAAGTCTGTCCTGAAAAATCGGAAACAGTAGGAGCATCAGCAAATAGACCAGGCCAAGGTAAATTGAGACTGGCACAACCACATCACTTCCAGGTGCACCACGTCTAAGTGGCGGCTACCTGTAGGAAGTCCTTAATCCCTAACAAATTTCTTGCTATTCCAACTTTTTCCAGGAGATGGCAGTACTGCCTTAAAAGAAGCAGCCTTTGCAGAAACAAATTTGCTTATTTAGTACCTAGGCAGCCAGAATGAGGTCAAGATGTATAAGGTGGGAGAGGGGAGTGCAAAAAATCGACAAAAATATGATTGTATGCCATTTCGTTGATTCACTCAATTTTCTTTCTTTCTTTCTTTTTTTTTTTTTTGAGACTGAGTCTCACTCTGTTGCCTGGGCTAAAGTGCCGTGGAGTCAGCCTAGCTCACAGCAACCTCAAACTCCTGGGCTCAATCTTTCTGCCTCAGCCTCCCGAGTAGCTGGGACTACAGGCATGTGCCACCATGCCCAGCTAATTTTTTCTATATATTTTTAGTTGGCCAATTAATTTGTTTCTATTTTTAGTAGAGACGGAGTCTCGCTCTTGCTCAGGCTGGTTTTGAACTTCTGACCTTGAGCAATCCTCCAGCCTCGGCCTCCCAGAGTGCTAGGATTACAGGCGTGAGCCACCGTGCCCGGCCCCAATTTTCAACTATTCAGGGTTCAGAGCAGTCTCTCAAACTCCTGGGCTCAAGCGATCCTTCTGTCTCAGTTTCTCGAGTAGCTGGGATGACAGGCATGTGCCACCATGCCCGGCTAATTTTTTCTATATATTTTTAGTTGGCCAATTAATTTGTTTCTATTTTTAGTAGAGACGGAGTCTTGCTCTTACTCAGGCTGGTCTTGAACTCCTGACCTTAAGCAATCCTCCTACCTCGGCCTCCCAGAATGCTAGGATTACAGGCATGAGCCACCGCGCCTGGCCTCACTTGCCTCATTTAAGCTTGACAGCAAACCTGAGAGCAAAGTAACATAGATGTATTATTATTCCTGTTGATAGATGGGAAACTAAAGCTCAGAAACTCCACCCCAGTTTAAAACCCATGGTTTCAACTGTAAAGTGGGGACGATGACCCGAGGTTTCTCACCAGATCCCATGCCCAGGGGCAATGTGTCAAAGGGCCATTAATAGCTCTTCTTCATCAATCTTGAAAGTGACTGGGGCAGTCCCTCCTTGGAGACCTTTTCTCACCCACCCCAGGAGTGGAAGGTCCACTCAGAGAAGGCTGAACAAATCTTCACAGTGCCAGACCCATCTGTTCCCTCTCCACGCCTGAGAAATGGAACAGATAATGGGGGCCTACTGGACATAATTCAGCCCTGGCTCTATTGTGGAAGAGTGTAAAGATGTTCTCTCCTCCCCTGAGTCTTTCCTGATCCTACCTAATTTGAACTAATTGCTTCTACCTTCAAACTCCCAGTTGCACTTCATGTTTTTATGCTGCTCCTTTGGGTCCTTCCCAATTTCTGTGTTTCCTTATATAATAGTTATTTGTGTCATTTCCCTATTTCTGCCCTTCCTATGGACAGGGACAGGGTCTCACTATCTCCAGGACCCCTATGCTGTGCAGCATGGTGTGAAATAACAGCATGCAATGCTCTGGAGGAGCCCCACCTCTCCTGAGCTGTTCTGCATCATTTGATGTTGACTTTCACATGCCCTTGCTAGTGACCACTGAGTGAATAAGTTCACTGAGAAGATACGTGCCCTAGCCCAGCCTCTGCATAAAGAGACGATATCCCCAGCCTGGCTTCTTGCCTATGAGTAATTTTTTTTTTTTGAGACAGAGTCTCACTCTGTCACCCAGGCTGGAGTGCAGTGGTGTCATCATAGTTCACACTGCAACTGCAAACGCTTGGGTGCAAGTAATTCTCCTGTCTCAGCCTCCCGAGTAGTTGGGACTATAGGCATGTGCCACTGCACCCAGCTAATTCTTCTATTTTGAGTAAAGACGGGGTCTCACTATTGTTCAGGCTGGTATCAAACTCTTGAGCCTGAGTTATCCTCCCACCTCTCTTGCGTCATTTGCAATGTCCTTACTAAAGTTCTCTTCCTTATTTCCTAGGAAATCATCTAATAAACTCAGTCACTCTGAGCCGTAGAATTATAGAGTTGGAAGGAGCCTTATCATAGTACAGTCAAGGAAACTGAGGCCCCACTCAGCATCTGTTTTTGGAGAAGAGTAAGAATGACACCAGATGGAACACTAAAAAGTTGGTAATGTGAAGAAAACAGGTAACTAAGCATATATATATTTTTTTTTTTGACATCAGGGGGCATGGAAACTAAGCATATATTTTAACCAATGACAATTTAGTTCATTTCAAAAGTTAAGGGTTACCCAGCCAAGCTCCAGTCTACTTGGTTTTATAAAGATCTCTTTCTCTGCAAGTCAGTATGCTCAGGAAAAATGACCTTCCTGGATTCATATGGCACAACTCTAAGAGGTGCCAATCACATCAAGCCTGTATGAATGGCATGGCGCCCCCTAGAGTTGTTCAATTCATAACCTGCAAGACCCAACATGGCAGCCCTCTTTGTTCCTGCTCCACACTAACATGGGCTTTGATGCTGAAGTCCAAATACATTCAGTTATTTCTGGGGACACTGAGTTCTTTGTGGCAACAGCAAAGAGCCTATCCATCCCACCAGCCCCCGTCTTTTGTCCTCACTGGGGATGGGCTGCACAGCACACACACTGCCTCCAACATGTGTAGGCCTGCCTATGGGGAGTTCTCTGGGAAGAAGAGTATCACGAGTGGTAAGGCATGCAGTCATTATCCTTTCTGTTTCATGTCCTCCTGGGAAGCTTGTTTGTTCTTTGTGCATCTGGTTCTGAACTGCAGCGAGACGGTGGAAGTATATTACAGGTAGGCTTCCCACACCCATCCCCTAATCCCTCAAGACAAAAGGTGATTGGGCAGCATGAATGAGGAGGTGAGGTCACAGTTCTCGCTGACAGCCAGAGCCTAAGGAATCAGAAAAAGCAGAGGTGGAAAAACAGGAACCACATGTTACTATAGCAAACAAGGAGATTCATGTGTACACAGCTTGTGATTGAAGCCACCATATTCTTACAGCCCATGACATAAACAGGGATGAAAAGGCATCTCTTCCTCCTTTTCCAGGGCCAACCTGAAGGGACTCTATCCCCCTCTGACTACTTGTCACAGGCATTTGTCATTATGATTTTTGCAAACTACTCCTTGCTCCTAGAAACTCAATTTTCATACCTAAGAAAACCTTGTCTGGGATTAGGGGAGCAT